TGAGGAGCAGCGCGGTAGTATCTACTAAGCCCGTATGGGGAATAAGCCCTCCCATATGTCATTGCACATTATGCTCCTGAGGTGACACACTCTGATAAATAATTTTTAGTGGGAGTGGCAAATGTCTAAACACTGTCTGTTGCGTACTGTACAATCAAAGCTACGAGTCTCTCAGAGTTATAAAAATTATTATAAATAAAATTGTACGTGTAAACAGAACACACGTACTTTTTACTCCGCCGGATCCAGCGATTTAGTCTTATATGTACATATATAAATATTCACCAATATGAACTATAAAATTGATTTTTAAAATGTGGTAGTTTTTAAATTCTTCAGAACTTCGGCGACGATATCACATAACTGTCATAGGATTGTTAAGTAATAATCAATGTACTCTGTGGTGAATACGTACAAATATATGCATTCTTCATCTTTCGCTACTTAATTATTTAATTTAAATTGAATAGGTATGAAGTAGATAGGGTTACAGTTACTGTGCACAGATATACATAAAGCATAAAGCAGGATTTAAAGAATAGGTAAAAAATCTATAATACCAGGTGCCTCCACAAAAACAAATGAACTTTATTATTAACTTTATTTATTGACTAAATGGAGTGAAATGTGACCTATGCCTAGAATTACGAACCTCCATTTTATGGCTGTCCACAGTATTTGTTATCTGTTCGCCTTGGCAATGTGAGGAGAAAAAACCTTTTTAAATCCCAGCTGTATTTTTCCGATGTCGTAATACTCGACCAGAGAAGAAAACCTAGGCCAACAGCTCTCGATGGAAAGTAAACAATCGCAGAAGCGGATATTGTGGCTCTATCTCGCAATCAGTCAGACAAATAATTGTATCCTCGTACGCGCAAAGTAAATGTTTTCCGTGATAACGCACCAGTTGTGGACGACTGTCCGTTTTCCCCCTGCCCCACTCCCCCCACCCCTCCTGCTTTCCAAAAGAAAATTGTCAGTTTATCTGGTGAGCTGATTGCGTTTTTCTGTAAGTTCTTGGTCACAACCATTTGGCTCCGCACATCCGATGATTTGTTTGCCAGCAAACTGTTCGACAGACAGCGCATGCGCAACATTCTGGATCGCAGTTGGCAATGTCCGGCTGTCGTCCCTTTGTTTGCATACTCGGAAGTGACAAACGACTGTTGATAAGAATAGACGCAGGCGACGCACTTGCGTTTTCCTCTGAGGAAAAGTCACAGTTTCGCAGCTCTGGTTAGTTCTAGACAAAACGGGGAACAATAACTTCTTATCTTATGTTTTGATACCAATTCTTTGATAAAATACGACACACATTTGTAATGTGTAAATAATTATGCATTTTTGTAATTGAATAGCATTGAATAATAAAAATATGTAACACTAAATACATTTTTTTTTTGCTATATTTATTATTTGTTTATTCTGAGAATTTGTAATTAATAAATTCTTTGGATTAAGTACAATTTTAAAATTTCTTAATTGCAAATCTGTGGATTACATTTTTAATAATTTAAATAAAATTTTACCAAATTTTAATTTAATTCGTCCCAAATATGTTAACTCTGAAATTATTCAATTAAAATGTTGTAAATTAAATGCCGAAGTTATTCAAATAAAAGTCGTATTTTAGTTCAATAGGAAGTTATTGATAACATGTCGTTTTAATTTCACCAATTTTGTTAGATATATGTAAATGTACGAAAATACATAAAATTTAAAAAAAACGTGTAAATTGAATAAGAAATTTAAGTATGAAATAATAAACTAGGACTGGAACTATAATACATACTCTCTACAAGGGTATAAAATATCCATCGTGGGTTCTGCACATACATTACATATAATAATTTTTTTTATACCAATAAAGAACAAATTAATTTTCATTATAAATAAGATGTTCCTAAAAATGTAGGAGTCGAACCATTTCATGAATAAATTCTCACCGTGATAGCTTAAGATACGTTATACCAAGTGACTGTTTAATAATAATATTTTTATGTTACCCTAAAGTGAAACGAAATGAATGTAGTGCAACCAGAAATTGTGTTTTAGCCGTAAAGAGTTTTTCCAAATCCATATAGAACCAAAACATTGGTCAGAGTGTAAGTGACCAAGATCTTCAACTTGTTGGAATTAAAAAGCGGAGTGCAGCCAAAAGTTAGTCTGAATAACAGCAATCATAACAAGAAAGGAAGCTAGCTTCGGCAAACCGAAGCTTATATACCCTTGCAGTCATCAAATATGTCGAACAAAATGCATAAAGGCAACATCGAAGCTATAACGATTTTTCATCATATGGGAGCTATATGATATAGTTGTCCAATTTTGATCAAGTTTAATTCGTAATTCAAGAGTCGTAAGAAAACTATATATTCCAAAAATCATACTTGTCTGATGAAAAACCACGATGTAATAATTTTACTTCCGTTATTTCTATATAGATTTTTCGATCTTTCCTATGACAGCTATAAGATATAGTTGTCCGATTTTTTTGAAACTTTTTTCTCAATATAAGAGTTATTAAAAAACAATCATGCTCATGGGATAACAAGAAAGGAAGCTAGCTTCGGCAAGCCGAAGCTTATATTATTTATATTTTTTCTCGGTTCAAGGGTAGTTCATAAAGTCGATATTGGAAAAATCATGCTCGTGGAATAAAAAACAACGTTATAATTTTTTTGCCATTATTTCTATATATATTTTTTGATCTTTCCTATGGCAGCTATATGATAGAGTTATCCGATTTTGATCAAATTTAATCCAAAATTCAATAGTATTTAGAAAACGCCATCTGGAAGAAATCAAGTCAATTCAATCAAGTCAAAACAACGGCGTAATAATTTTTATTCCTTTATTTTTTTGACCTCTTGTATGGGAGCTATCCGATATAGTCGGCCGATCCGGCTCGTTCCGACTTATATACTACTTATATAACTACACAACTTTTCGGAAAGTTTCAGCACGATAGCTTAAAAACTGAGAGACTAGTTTACATAGAAACAGACAGACGGACAGACGGACCGACGGACAGACGGACCGACGGACAGACGGACAGACGTACAGACGGATTTCGATTCAGATCGTGATGCTGATCAAGAATACATATATATATTTTATGGGGTCTGAGGTGTCTCCTTCACTGCGTTGCAAACTTCTGACTGAAATTATAATACCCTTTGCTCTGCAAGGGTATAAAAACAAATAAATTGTTTACAGGCTAAAGATAACTATGTATTTCCCGGGCTCGGCGTTTCCGAACTATGTGGGTTTTATTACCCTCGATCTGGCTGATTGTCCACAATCCACTTGAGGAATTCGATGCGGCCCCTCGAAATTGTGTCACCAAGTCGAGCATTCGAAAGTGCCACGGAACAAAGAGCCAGATCAACCCGTGCCACCAATCAATCAACCGCGAGCTCACAAGCCTTGCGATACAATCTACAAGTGCCGGCGATAACTCCCCGCCCCCACAAGCCTGTGGGTTCGTAAATCAGAAAGTGAGGCGGTACCCGTGCGGTAAGATCTGCCACACTAGGACCAGTCGTACCTGCAGTATCTCGGTTATTACTGCTTCACTGGAAACTCATCAGGAGCCAGACTTCCAGCCCGGACTGCTGGAAGGAGTCGCCGGGAACGCCAGGCGAAAGGAAAACTCGGGAAAAGTAAAAACAAATCAACAGTTTGAATTCGCCCTTGTTTTGTTTCGCTCAGCTCCCACTCGTCCCGCCAGCAGAGCGGGTGGCAATGCGCACTCTTATACTCGTGGAAGAGCGGTTGCAGCGGCAGAGAGCGAGAGGGCACTCTCTAATTTGGACAGGTGAAGTGCCTGGAAAACGCAGGTACAGGCAGCTTTCTTGTGGAGTCTGGTGCTCCCTGCGGGGAACAGGGAGAAGGAAAAGAAGTCCATCAAATTACCGGCTCTCCAGGTTGGTTTTTTCGGCCGCTGAGCTCAGAGCTCAGTTTAAAATCGCGAAACTAGATCCTGGTTTTCCTCCCACACTGCTTCAAACGTCTAGCACTTGCAGGTCCTGGCCATGCAGCGCTCCCTTACTGCGTGCTGAGCGGGACCGCGGAAGAGAGAGCCCGCGGAAGAGAGAGCCCGCGCAAGAGAGCGCAGTCCCACAACCCAACGAAGCCCGCGGCGCTCTAAGCACGCTCTTAGCATCCACAGCCGCTTGGCTGCAAGCATATTCTACCACATGGTGGAAATCACTCGGGTCCGTTCACGTTTGGGTGGCTCTCTCGGGTTCGCTGAGAGAAATTCACCATCGGTTTGAACCGAATGAGAAAATTTGTCCGGCTTATGACTGATTGAGAAAACGTTTTTCAATTTCTGTTAAAATTTCAACAGCTTGGCAAAAGCGCCCCCCGTCGGACGAAGAAGGGTTTGTCTACCTGTGGACTGTCCTTTTCGAAAACTCAAACGAAAAAAGGAAAAAATTATTGTTTTTGCAACCTGATTTGTTAAACTTTAGCTGGAACCCAGTTCAAAAGAAGACCTTTGGCTTGGCAATGGATGCGAATAAAATTCAGTAAAGTTTTATTTTGGCGTACGTGATTGTGAGTAATGCATAGCGTATCCTTTGAAATTGGTTTATCTGGTTGCGTTTATTTAAAATTGAAACTGAGTGCTTGAAGTATTTATAAAAATTGGTTGCTGATTCAGCTTCGAGCTTTTAGTTTCGAGTTATTTCTACGGCAGTTAGATCTTCGTGCGTTTCATAAAATTTAATTCAAGAGTTATTTAAAAACCTTCAAATATTTTGTAATAGTTACAAGACTTTCGGCGGAAAATGAGTGGACGCCGCACAAAACCAACAACAAGTTACAGTTCGTGAGTGTGGAAACCAACCCGACTTTCGGCTCTCACCTCAACACTGTATTGGTATTGGTGCCGTTAACGGACTGACGGACCGACGAGAGCACCCTACACTCACTCTACCATGCGTGCAACGCTCGTGGTGCGCTGCAAGTTACAGATACTCGTCGACCTTCGTGGAGCTCGTTACAAGGAGTCGCGTCCCAGCCGCACCGCAGCAGTCCGTCGCCGTGGCCGCAGTCTCATTCCAGCGCTCGTGGCAAGAACAACGATTTGGGGCAAGACAACGCGACCGCGAATCGCCCAGTGAAGTGAGTGGCAGCCAGCCGCCAGCCGCCAGCCAATCGCCTCGAGCTCCAGCGCGCGGCGCGAGTGCAGATTTCGAATTGGATTAAGTGGAGTCGCGCTGCAAGATGCGGCAGCCGTGCCCCGCCGGTCGCCCCCAGCGTGCGGCAAGTGTGTGAAATGTGCTACCTGAGAAAATGCCCACGGAGTGCTCAAACATATCGAAACAAATCGAAACAGGGGATTCAGATCGCTAGTGCCCCAGTGAACCTCGCGCCCAGATCGCCACTCGATTTTCTCTCAGTGCTCTAGTGTTGCGATTTGCTTTTTTTTGCAACGCCCCTTGACAAACTACGGAATACAATCAATACTAATCTTAAGGCAACTACAATCTACTCAAAACACTTAGAATTTAGAGGTGAGTTGGGAGTGAGCAAGTGGCTTCGGAAAAGCGTTAAAAAATAAAACAAAAAAATAAAACAACCAAACTGTGCAACTGCAGGCAAAATATGTGGCGACTGATGTTTCTCCGCGGAAAGTGGCGCAGATATTTTCAAAACAACTACTCGAATACTAATAAACTGGATTGGGCTGAAAAACAATTGCATACACAAGCATTGAGTTGCGGAAACTAGTTCTGTTTTCTGTTTTCTCGGACCAGGAATGCAGAAAGATATGTCTCCTTCGCAGTTTAAAGATCACTCATAGCACTTCTAACCCGTTCTTGTGTCCAAACACTGATTATCATTAATCAAACACAAATTAGGAGGGATTAAAACCGTCAACATCTCGGGCTAATCAAGCTAACCTGCTGTATTTTATAAATAAGATCCGGGGCGGGATCGTCAGCGGGGTCGTAAAACTCGGGAAAAAGAACGTGGAGTGCCTTGCCGCAGGGGGAATTCTTTCACCAAACACTTTCTGGCCGCAGGTTTCTTCTCCCGACGGCTCTTGCGGAGATTTTTATCTCGCAGATGCACTTGTTTGGATTTTTCCCGCCGCAATTACGTTCTTGAGTCTTTGGCAACTTCACACCTCGGTAGACACGCAATGAGGCTGCCTCTCTGGCCCCTGGGTTTCATAATTCTCCTGCTGTTCTCGGGGGCAATTAAGTGGAAATATGTTTGGCAATTAAAGTTCCCCAGACCTCGCTTTCACTTTCCCCCGCTCTTTGTAAATAACTCGAATGATTTTCCCGCTCACTTGGGATGGCTGGGATATCTGAGATTGAGTCTTCGCGTGCCTCGTTATCCGATGGGCATCGCAACCGATGCGAAGATGCGCCGCAATCGCGCATGCATAATTAATTTCGTGTAAAAATCATAATTACACCAATTAAAATTTGTGTAAACAAGTTGGCGGCAGGCGAGCGAGTCCCTCGATTCGCCTGGAGCGCCGTTTGGGGCGCAATCATTATTATAATATAGCTGAAAAAACTTTTCGTGGTCGATTTTGGGGGGAACTCTTTATTGCCCTTATAGAAAAAGTTGCGGGCCCAGGAGTGTTTGCTATATTATGATAATGAGATTGTGTTCCAGCTCGCATTCATTACAGAGACTTGCGCAGACGTCCCTATTCTCCTTGCCTTAATGCCGCCCCCAAATGTGAAAGAGGTTACAGCAATCCTTGTGGGCTCACCAACCCAGCCATAGTTATACCGATATTTTAATCAATAATAATACCATTTTCGTGGCTTGAACTCTATCTGACATCACTGCTTTCGCTATAACTCCGATACCAACTGGAACATATAATGTTGTGTTACACAAATCAGTGCTTTTATTACATAGTTAACAAAATCAAGCAGAAGGGAGTGTGACTAAATAGTGTTGCGTGAATTAAAGTTTCAAATGATAAGGCTGCTATTTAGAATGCCAGAGTAGCCCAGTTAAAGCAGTTAAAACGAAATATATAATTTATATAAATTATATAAAAATTTTAATACGAAATAAAATGCAAAACAATTTGTTGTGGAATTTGAAAATCTGACCCCAGCATTCTGGGGCTCTTGTAGGCACGTCGCATTGGATCTATTTGAGTTTAAATTGCAGCGCAAAGAAATATCGCCTCTGCCCAAGCAAATAAAACTCCTCAGTCGTCCAATTTATATTAGTGTCTTCTCCTCCTCATTCGACTCCCATTTAACCTCATTCTGTTCACTTCGCTCCCCCAGGTCATTTTTCAGAGACCGACGAAAACAACAATCAACAAAATTTATACCCAGAAGTGTCACTCCAGTGTGCATTTGGAGCTTTCGAGTTTTTGCTGCCCCTCGGAAGGCAAGATCGTGTCGCTGCCCACATGGCTGCCACCGAATTGGCCCCAAGCAGCCTCCCACTCTCCGCGTCCCCTAATTAATTAGCATCTAACTAAGAATAATGTTTCCTGCGGCCCTCGCCGGCGGCAGCAGTCGACTGTCATAACTTGGCCGCAAGTTTATTTGTTTGCTCGCCAGCGAAAACGAAGGCGGCTCACAAAAGACAGACCCGATCTTAGAGTAGATACTGCGGCCACCGAGGCACAGATACAGATACAGATACACAGAAGGCGCACAGGTGCTACATTCTGTTCAATTTCTGGCCCGCCTCTCCTGAAACAGGTACGGAAAACCACAAGGAGAAGCCATTCGCTGCCGTCTGGGTTTGATTGTTAGTTTCGTTCGGTTGTGTTTTTATGGCCCCTGTTTTTTGTTTTTAATTATTGTATTTCGGGTTTATATGCTTGTGAGAACCGCTCGAGTGTTGCGGCTGCCCAGAGCCATCGGTGTCCCTCGCTGGCGAGTGCTCCTGCCTCTTAAAGAATGTGAGAATTTCCTAAATGACTTGGCGCCAGCTCTATTGTTTTATAGGTGTGTTGGCGAAACTCGTTGTTTCATCTGCAGAGCGTAAAGGCAGCTCGGGGTTTTCAGCAGCGGTTTCGCCTCCTCGTTCTTTTCGCCTCTGCTGCGGAGCTTAATTAGTTCGGAAGAAGTTGAGTGTGTTAAAGTATTCCAATTATTTTGAGCTGTCGAGAGCTCGGGGAATGGACAGCACGAGGAAAACGAGAAGTTGTGGGAGAAAACTGTTGGAAACAAGTTTAGAACATTTTAAAACGTGCTCGAGTGCTTTGCAGAGCCTCAGTGGACTGTGGTTGAGATCTTGCCCACCCATTTGCCCCAACCTACCTTGTATCTACCCATCGACATTCTCCGATCCAGATAGCGTTCTCACACTTTCGCTGGGCTGAGACAAACCCTTTTTCTCGAGGCGGACCACAAAACCATTAAGATTTCCTGCTTGGCTTCCTTTTTATTGGTGACCCTTATCTCGACCCTTCTGCTTGTCCGTGTTCCCAAAGAACTTTGCCTATATTGTATGTAAATAGCCACGGGAGTGCCCCTAGATGCAACTTCCACGGCGAGGATTTCGTCGAGCTAATTAACTTTCGGTTACAGTTCACTGCGCGAAATAGCGATCGCTGCGGAGCAAATTAAATTTGTGTCTGAGGAACGGAGTCGTCCCTCCGATGCACGCCGGAAATGAATCGCCGCTCATCAACTTGACGACGATTTCCCGCATGCTCCCAGGCCCTTGTCTGATCACTGAGTGTTACTACATTACTATATGCTTATGAGGCCATGTCTTTCACTCCATTTGTCAGGGGCATTCAAGCAAGTCGCTCGCCCATCCCGAAAATGTGTATCATCGATTCAAGTCTGGAGCCATCCAAACATTTTACGCATCACAAAACAATATAGCGTCATTAGCCCTGTTTTGGTTGCAGTGGACTCAGGGTCGGGCGAACCCTAGTCCCAGAGCATTGCCACTCCAGGCCGACCCAACCCACAGATCCACCAAATGCGGGAGGTCTCAGCACATGCGACGATTCGGCCCGGTAATTAGGCTCTAAGTTGCCAAACACTCAAATTGAGGGAAGCGTCCAAGAGCTCGTATGCAGGGAAACCCGGCCCATTAATACATGTCTTGTGCTGGAATCGCTGACAAAGCTTTGTCATACATGCAATGCAATTCGTCGTGGTCAACACGTCCTTACATTAGTACAAGGTGGGTTCCCGGTCAGTCTTCCACATTCGAAGAGACTGAGCAGATCTACCCTATGCCAAGCAAATGATCCCAGGAGAATTTCCCTAAAAGGCACACGTCAGGTGTCAAATGTGTTGTGTGTACTTCTGTGTACATGAAGCGGCTCTTTCGAGGGTTGCTATTAAATGGGCAACATGTTTGCTTAATTAGGGCTCCAGAAGGTTTTCTTTTGAAGGGTTAAGTGCCGAATGTTGTTGCTCGACCCCCCTGAAGATAAAAGGGATAAAGAAACCCTAAGTTTCCCCAAGCCAGTGGAGTTGAAAAACCCTTTATTGAAAGCGAAAATCTAATGGACTTCTCTTTGTTTATAATTTTGATAACATGGCTTTAGGCAAATATAACGTATACAATTTTCAATTAAAAGTGATACAATGTTGGCATTTTCTACTGTGATATAAATGTGAAGTGAATGTTAAGATTTCAACTGTTTAAAAAGCTAAAGTTAAAATGATTAATAATCAAATTGGAGCTATCAATAAAGGTTACGAGGAAAAATGGCAGTGAATTAAAACCTCCTTAAAAATAAATACACACATAAAAAATTAAACTTTGTGGGTTGCCTGGGCAAGTAGTCGCAATCGTTAGGAGCTGGACAGTGCGTTTACTGCATCGTTAGGAAGTGTAAACAAAATCCATTACCATACATCAAGTGTGGCCACATGGCTTCGATACTTTTAGGTTCTTCTTTAGTACTTCCCTTTAACTGGAAAGTCATTCGTTTATTGTCCATTGCCATGTTAAAGACATGCTTAGGCCCGGCCAATAAAGGTTTTCTTCAATGGGCCAAACAGCAGCCCGCAAGCGGCAGGCGGCTTAACAACCGCAAAACCCGCAAAGCGAGCCCAGACCTTTGTTTTTCAACTCGCCGCTCGTTCCGGGAGCCATAAAAGAACCGCTATTCCGGTCTGGTCGAATGGAACGGCTGTGACACAATTTCTGGAAGTGCTCGTACATGCGTGATTTCAATATTCCAACTGCCCAACTGTCCAACCACCAAATCCAGACACATGTTGGGCACTTCTAAGTCGGACAGGGAGCTAAATGAGTTTGCCACAGAGGAACAGACTGACTGACTGGCAATGATAATCCATAAGTGAGCACAATGTTTGTCACAGGCCGTCCTCCCAAGTCCATCCGGGTGATGGTAGGCTCGTCCTCGCGGGACCACCTGGGACGACATGAGTACCGCGCCGAGGTCCGCTTTTGTTTTCACTTACTGTGGGCGTAGCAAAACTTAATCAAGCGTTGCTAATTTGTCTGGCACCGAGGAGCGCGGCCACGGCCGAAGGGCAAAGGTTAGCGGTGGGAATGGCCCGCCGCAGCTGAGTCGCAGCTG